ATGAATTTCGATATTATTTAAATTAAACCAAAAATAATTTTCGTTATGGCAAATTTCCTAACTATTGAGTAGAATTTATATTATTGCAATTAAAATATGAAAATTTTACCGCAATAGTCCTTTATGCGCACTATGTATTAATAATAATGAGTATATAGACAAAAATCGTATTTGGATAAGGTTTTGGTAGCTTTTTATTTTAAAGGAATTTTTGTTACCTACTTATGGATATAATATGGCTAGTAGACCAGTCAGTCAAGACAATTAATTCATAATAATTCCAAAAGTTTTTAAATTTTGATGTAAGGTCGGGAGTGGTATTAAAACAAACTATAAAATTTTGCAACCTGCTCTGCGGTCCGGAACATTGTTAAAAATAAGTTTTGGTCGTGAAAAAATTCCAAAAGTTCTGCAAACTTGGGGAAGTTTTCGATATAATATTTCATATCACGTATAAAATTTGCAACCAACCTAAGTGTACGGAACATTTTTTGTTATTAAAAATTAATGTTTTTCTTTATTAAACTGAAGGAAAACGTTCCAAAAGTTCTGCAAATTTGACAGATATATCGAAAATAAAATAAATAACAAAAAATGTTCCGTACACTTAGGTTGGTTGCAAATTTAATACGTGATATGAAATATTATATCGAAAACTTCCCCAAGTTTGCAGAACTTTTGGAATTTTTTCACGACCATACAGCAAAAATTAATTTAATTGCAATTTTAACAATGTTCCGGACTGCGGACAAGGTTGCAAAATGAGATTTATTGTCGTCCCAATGTACCATTCACTTGACCGAAGTTTGAAAACTTTTGGAATTATTATCAAATTTTCGATTTCGAATGTCTATAATATGGCTAGATCATAAGATACAGGGAAGACGCATTTTATCATTTCATCCCACCATTTTTGTTAAGCATGATTTATCTAAAAATAAATGCATTTTTATTTCTTTAAGAATCATTATTTACTTACAAAATCCATTTATTTTAACACATCGTCTTATTGTAGATATAAAATAAACATCTAAGTTTCTAGATTCTAACAAACCAATCATAGCCCATTAAGATAAAAACTTAAAAAAATCAAAGTAAACATTTATTTATTTTAAACGGATATAAAAGCGAGTTTATTGCAATTAATGCCTAAACAGAAACTAATCAAAATTCTGTTGCTTATAGTTATTCTTCAATATCATAATATAGTGTAATTATGTCAACTTGATGTAGTGATGCCAACTTTTCTCTAGGGAGAAATGATGTCTATGGGGGTTTATTAACGGGTACTTTCCAAAAAAAAAAAACCGTTAAATTTTATACAATTCTTATAAAGCCTCGAATATAAACTCCAAGCGTGGCTATAATCGTAACATCAAAAGCTAAGCTTTGCGAATATTAACTCCAAAATCGAAATAACAGCTATTTTATACTACTTGAATGTATTTTTATACAACAAAAAGTGTAGTTGGTCCTAGGAGGAACATACTGTAGGTGTTGATAAGCAATCGAATCGTCGAGTTACATTAATTAAAAATGCTGTTAAATTTAGTATTTAATAATTTAGTAAATTTAGTTAATACTCCGACAACAGAGGCCGTGTTTGTGTTACTTTCTCAATATGGAGTACATTTTCAGGATTCGAGTTGTTAGAAAATCTCATTGCTGCATTTGTTAGTTGAGGTAAGACAGGCTTCTGCTTTGTGCTATGAGCTCAAATATGCCTCTTAGGTAACTCTCAAATTAAAAAAGTAAGCGCTAATAAAATGAAGAAAAATTTGATTTGGTTCCGTATTTATAGGCACAAATAATAATTGATTTTAAAGTATGAAAATACCACCACATAAGCACGGCCCGTTGATTTCTTGATTCTAAAGCTGGCAATTGACGGACCGCATGTAGCAAACACGACCGAATGAGTAGTTGTGTTCGACCGCAAAATAATACTGATGCGAGTTCATTTACAAGATGGAATTCGATGAAGAAACACTGCTACTTGTACTATTATTACGCAAGCGTAGGCGTAGAAGACACCGTAGTATGTGGGTGCGTCCAATACTACAATCAAGAGAACAGCATGGAATATTTCATACTTTGTATCCCCAGCTGAGAGGACACTAAAATGTTTTTCAACTACTTTAGAATGTCCGTGGTTTCATATGATGAATTAGTTAGTATTTTATTTTATTTGAGGAAGAGGCGCGCGGTCGGCAGCAACCGCTTGTAGCGGTCCGTGTATGGTGGGTCCGGCAACTCTAAGCAGTCAACCGCACGGCAAAACTCGACCGCAGAGCGACTGCTCCAACCGCTCAGAAACTGGTCGTGCGGCCCGTGTATTGCGGATATGAATGTAGTATGGAAACTGCAGATCACCGTGCGGCGACCGCTTAGAGCAGTCGGTATCAACTGCAACATGCGGTCCGTCCATGGCCACACCATGGGTGATATTTAGAAACGAGACCTGACTAACAAAAACTCCCGTATGTCAGAATCTCACATTTTTGACATTCAGGTGTCATAGTCATCTTTGCGTAAATACTCTGTTCAGTAAAATAGTTCAAAAAAGTAGGTTATTATGTGTCAATGACTCAATAGATTTGCATTTTAATTTATATACAATTGTGCCTGAGATTTCTCTTAGTATGTTTCGATATAGGAAATATGAATGAATTTGAAATATTCACTGCAGCATACCTCAATGGAGATCACAAAATGTTTAATGTCCTAACAAGTGTCTTGCGTGTATAGAGTAGATTAATCTGTGTCGAAATGGTAAGTACTGAATGTTTTTCCTGTTTTCTATAAAGCATGTATGTAAACGTTTGCATTTCAATGCATGTAACCTTTTAAACTGTTTAAAACTTTGAAATATACAATATCGTTTAAATCATGTTTTTATTTCCAGGGTTAGAGTGTAAGAGTAGCCGAAATCAATCAGCATATGACAATACATAAAATGTATGTTTGAACATTACGTGTGAATGTTTTAGTGAAGTAGAAAATCATATGTTAGATCGATATAACATCAAGGCAGGGGCGAAACATCTACCTGCAGATGAGATTCATCATAGGACGTCGAGGCAGAATACGAAATTCTACCCATAACACCTCGATGGCCGTCGTTCCACAACTGAGCGTTTTTTAAGGCAATTTTTGCCGCGCACCACCACTATGTGGAACCAGTTGCCCACTGATGTATTTCCGAACCAACTCGACTTATAGACCAGTCAGTCAAGACAATTAATTCATAATAATTCCAAAAGTTTTCAAATTTTGATGTAAGGTCGGGAGTGGTATTAAAACAAACTATAAAATTTTGCAACCTGCTCTGCGGTCCGGAACATTGTTAAAAATAAGTTTTGGTCGTGAAAAAAATTCCAAAAGTTCTGCAAACTTGGGGAAGTTTTCGATATAATATTTCATATCACGTATAAAATTTGCAACCAACCTAAGTGTACGGAACATTTTTTGTTATTAAAAATTAATGTTTTTCTTTATTAAACTGAAGGAAAACGTTCCAAAAGTTCTGCAAATTTGACAGATATATCGAAAATAATATAAATAACAAAAAATGTTCCGTACACTTAGGTTGGTTGCAAATTTTATACGTGATATGAAATATTATATCGAAAACTTCCCCAAGTTTGCAGAACTTTTGGAATTTTTTCACGACCATACAGCAAAAATTAATTTAATTGCAATTTTAACAATGTTCCGGACTGCGGACAAGGTTGCAAAATGAGATTTATTGTCGTCCCAATGTACCATTCACTTGACCGAAGTTTGAAAACTTTTGGAATTATTATCAAATTTTCGATTTCGAATGTCTATAATGACTGGCCTATTAGGGTCCTTCAAGAACTGAGTGTACCAATTCTTAAAAGGTCGGTAACGCACCCGCGTGCCCTCTGGCATTGAGTGTCCATGGGCGGCGGTATCACTTTACATCAGATGAACCCCCTGCAACATAAAACAATTAGGAGAAAAGATGTATGGTTCTACTAACTTTGACTTCGTCACCATGACGCTCGCTCTTACGTCTAGTAAGTATTAGTTAGATAATTCTATAAAAGACAAATTAATGTATCTGAAACCTTCGCCAAAAGTTCGCCAACGTTAAAATGAAACATCTCTGACTCCTTCGTCTCTTTCTAAGATTACGTATTGGAAGAGGACAGCACTTCTTTTCAACAATTTTATCTATAATTAATTGTTATCAAATTAGCCTTTAATACGTGTTTGCATGTCGCAGTCAAAATATTAGATACCTAAACAATATGGCAGTATTTAATACTCTATTTTGGAAACAGTTATAGTTTAATTGTTCCATACAAATAATCCATTTTATTATCATTATTAAGTCAGCTGATAAAAGAAAAATTTGCTCATCCTTCTCTTAGTAGTTATTTTCCAGTTAATTAGAAATAATAAATTTTAAAGCAAGTGTAGATAATTCAGTGTGTTTATCTGGTGACGCTGGGAATCGAATCCAGGAATACGTCAAAAACCGTTATTAACTTTGGCACTGAGCGGTTTTAAAGATTCATGGTTATTTAAATTAGCTTGTTATCAATCTTAATATTATTACATTTATTTATAAACAAGTATTATGTATATTAAGTATATCATATATATGTATATTTATTTATGTCAATTTCTTAGACATGTCGTATGTAGATTAAATTTATTTTATCTTCTATAATATTATTTATATATCAATGTATGTATGTTTTGTGTCAATGTTATAGGATAGTGTTGTTAATTATTTAAATAAAACTTCTTTGCAAAACTCTTCTTTAATGCTATAGATTTTCTTACTCCTTCATAAAAGCAATATCACTATCAGCACTATTTTTTTAATTTTGATACAGTTCTCTCAGTATCTTAATGACCCAATCTTGAGTGGGGATCACAGTTTAGTAAATTGAGTGGAGTTTATTAGTTTTAACTGTGTTTAGGCTGATTTATATGAATAAGACAGTTTATTTTTTTTTCATTATTTAATATGTACTACTAACAACAAATTTTCTTTTATCTAAAGAAACATTTTTTATATATCCATTATAAAAATCTAAAGCAGTGATCTCTCTTTTGCCTAAAATCCTAAGAGATTTAAAGTACACATATTTATTATCTTTACATAATATTCGTATTGCATCTGTGTTTTTACAATATTCTAGAGATCCAATTGGTTTTTTTTCATACTCTGTTTGGTTGTGAATAAGAAAGGCGTTGAATAATTTCATCGGCTTGCCCTTAAATGTTGTTTTTAGTGGATGAAGGCTATATGTGGCTCTATATAGGTTGTAGACCTGAGTTGCTGTCATCTCTGACCATTTTACTTCACTTATATTTTTGTTGATTTTTTTGGCTAAAAAATAAAAATATATTATAGAACAGGCTTTGGACAGCAATTTAAAAGGATATGTTATTTTGGGGAGATTTCTGAGACAATTTTTATTGTTTATTGCATGTGTAAGTATTGAACAATGTTTCTTATGAAGATAATTCAGTGAAGTAAAAATATACACATATTCAGTATGGCAATATTTTCTAAAGATATAAGGGATGGGTGAACACATTTATGTCTGTTTTGTCTGATGAAAGCTCCGAAATGTGGTATATGAATAAAGAATACAAAACACAATTTTTAATATGTTACTTTGAATTAAAAGTGATTTTTGTAGTTACCATAAGTAACACCTTCACTGCGTTGTGGCTGCAGATTTTCTAGACTATCTGGCAATGTTCTTAAACAATCTACAAGCATCTCAGCACCAATATCAGAAAGCTGCTGTGTCAGATCTGGTAATAATATATCTTCAGGGACTGGAACAGTTTTTTGACTTATTATCTCACCTGAAATGTTATTTTTCTCTTAAAAATTTATATTAGATCAGAACACCAAAAAGACAATAAAAAATACTTTTTAAAACACTACAAAATATTAAAGTTGGCTTGACTGTATGCATACATTTCTGAAGGTTTAAAGTGTCAGTTGCCAAAAAATCTCATTAAGCTTAGTTCCCACTGAGTTCTAATTGAAGAACAATAAGTAACTATAACTAAACCAAGTGCTACTTATTGCAAAATTCAGGGGACTAATAAAAAAATATAACCTACCAAGCTTTATACAGGACAGTCATTAAAACACACCAATATGTGTAGGAAATATAAGCTTATAATATTTAGTACTTACCTACATCAAATTTATCAGCTTTAATTTTCATTAAAGATACACCTGTAACTTCATCTCCATGTAATAGTGTGTGAATAATTGGTGCAGCACCTCTCCATCTTGGTAATAAACTCGGATGTACATTCACCATGCCTCTGAAATTTATATCCTTAAAGTCAACCTCCAATAAAACAAACATATTCAAGAGCCATAATTGTTTAAACAAAACATCCTTGGTAACTTACAATGGAAATTTGTGAAGAAGATCCTTCTTGATTAAATGTCCAAAGGCCACTATTAAACCAACATCATATTCAGCTTCATGGATGTTAAGGTTGGGCCAGGTCAGTACTCTTATATCTTCTTTTTCAGCAAACTTCTCAATAATACTCTTATTTTTTGAGCTATTAGCTGTAACTAGATCTAACCGTTTGATTATCGTTTCACTTTTTCTGTAAAGATTTTATATTTTAATATTTAATGACATAAATATTCTAAAAATTAGGCTAGTTTTCCTTACCTTAAATGATTAATTTTACGTAAGCTATTAAGTCCAATGACGTCAGAACCGAAAAACAATACATTATAAGGCGCTCTGATACTAAATTTTCGTAATTGCGTACATTTTTCTTTGAAAAATAGAGTTTTTGTTTTCTGTAAAGTAAGGTTAGCTATTTTAATTGTCATTTTTATTAAATGGTCACAAACGTCAGTTTTTGACATTTACGTGCTGGTGCCAACATTAGGCGATAATGTAGTTATTTGTGTTTCTACAGAGTTCATACCCAGGTTCTCCTTTTCCGTCAAGTTTGTATGTGTGTATAGTTGATAAACTACTTAAGTGATTTCACATACTCCTTTCACGTCAAACACCACTACTATAGACGAAAGCCTTGTGGCATTGAAAAGGGGTTCAGTATTGGAAGGCCATTTCGAGCCTTAATTTATTACCTGGAGTATATTCGTAATTTTGAGATAGGTATATTAGTAATTGAATAATAATATATTGTAGTAATTGAAAAGCTATTAAATGGATGGACATTATATGGATACAAGGCCATTAAAAATTCTTAAGACATTCCAACCGTTTAGTTTCAAAAAAATTATAGTCTTCGTTACACCAAGCATTTGCACTGTATATCTGAGGAAGTCTGTACATTTACATTATTGATGTCTTTAGTTTTAACTATTTTGCGTTTAATAGAACGCTTAAAAATATTACAAAGATTATAAAACATTAACTCTTGAAACAAATCGAGCATGTACGAAATGAGTTAAAACTATTTTCACTTCATTTTATTATCATAAAATTGAAAGTCCTTTTGCATTTTGAGGTATGGAATATAGGGTAATGGAACAAAAACCAGTTTAAAGATTAACTTTATTGTTCAGTGTTCAGACACCTAATGTATTACAATATTTGAGAAAAATAGTCTCTTACATTGAAAATTGAATTCTTTCATCTAAGAATTTGAACAACAATCTTATTCTAAAAAGTATATAATATAAAAATAGAATTAACATATACATCTACAAATACATATAAGAAGTACCTAATTACAGTGTATCTACTTAACAAAGCCCATTGTAAAGCAGCGTTTTTTCTAAGTACAACGTATTTACCACATTAAAAATTTGACATCCATGGATAAGCTGGATGAATGGACTATCATATTAATAATATAATATATTGATACAAAATTTATTTTAAACAACTTTGTTCCATTTTTAAAACGACAAGGTCATGATGTATTTGCTTATTTGTAAGATAAAATTCTTGACATTGATTGAGTATTTTTATCATGAGTTATACAATACATTATATACTTTGCCTTTCCCTGTATGTTGGGCAAAACATATATGGATAAAACAGTAGAAGATCTTATCCCATAACATGTTGTCTTTAGATTATAATAAACTTCAAGTGCAGATAAAGAAATTTCTACAAATATCGATCAGTAGCAACATCAACATTTCTATAATTTTAATCTGGCATCTAGAGTACGGAAACATTCTAATTCAGGATATGTAGTAACTTTATTATTGTGTTAATTAACACGAACTTTTATTCGAAATACGACTGAAACTTTTCGCTCTTGAAAACTGCGGCTTGGTGTACCAAGAGGGAGGGCTCACTACGCCTGCTTCAATGCTTTTCATACTCACACCTCCTTCAGATTTTTGTGAATCTTGCCTCTTCGATACTTTGGATGATACCGTTTTAATGTGATCGCCATTAGCATCATTATGATATGGAATGTCTTTCATCTCGATTACTTCTACGTCCGTGTCACTCAAATCTCTGCTAATTCTGTTCACCTTGGTCGTTTCCATGGAGTAGGCAACACTCTTAAATGTCCCCGTCATTCTTCGTGATTTATCTTTAAATAGCATCTTCTGTAGCTCCTTCCGAAATTTGGGATGTGTGATGATATAAATAAATGGGTCAATACATGCTGCAGTTTTGCAGAACAGCGCTGGTATCATGGATACACCTGGAGTTATGACGTCTTTCTGACCAAATATACCAAGCAGCGTTACTATTGCATATGGTGTCCAAGATATAAAGAAGAGAGCTATCACCGCTATGACTAGACCTGCTAATTTAATTTCCGCCTTCCGTTTGGTTTGTTCCTTAACATGTCTCGAAGACATCTTCTCTGCTTGATTCTTGTTATTCATATTTCTGGTTCCAACAACGATACGCAGGATCCTGGTGTAGCAAAAGCAGATGATGCAAAGGGGGAAGAACCAGGCAGCGCAGAAGAATACAAAGATGAAGTAGCGTGGGGGCAGTTCATCTGTGAGATAATCGAAGCTGCAGCTGGTGAGGAAGCCTTCTGGAACGTAGTGGCCGTAACCGATATCTAAAGCTGGGATTATTGAGAAAATGGCTGCGTAGATCCAGGCGCCTATTGCGAAAAGGCGGGCTCGAATGGCAGTGAGGGCTCGAAGGGGCTGTAAGGGGTAGACAACAGCCCAGTATCGGTCCAGAGCAATCGCTGTCAGAGTAGCAATTGATGTTGTTCCGCTTAAACCTCCAACGAAACCGTAGAACACACAACCTGTAATAATTAAGGTTATAAAAAGTTATAATTCTGGATTTAGAGATGGCGCTTCAGAATTCTTCTAGTAAGCTGGGTTAATAGGTCTCAAATAAAAAAACACTTTTAAAAAAAATCAATCGATCTATGATTAATGATAATTAATAGAATGATAGTACTGATTCCGGATTATTACGTGAAATTTTAAATAAAGTGAGTTTTAATTATTTCTTTTACAGATAACTCAAAGCTGAAGTTTTAGAATAAAATTGTAGTTGAAACTGCTAATATATTAAACATGCTTAAGTTATAATTAATTAACTAGAATCTCGACCAATTTATTAAAGTCTTCTTGGGAAATGCATTAGACTTTGCAGACGTGATAGCGAATACGTTGCAAGGAAATTAATTTATCGTTTCTAAGTAGGGTATTTAATTAAAATACTTATATAACTTAAATCACATTAGTTATTTTTGACTTCCTAAAGGCTAAAGTACATATAACTGACTGACTGAAACACAGGTGCTGGCCAAACAATAATTCGTAAGCGCAGAAGGCTGTATCAATTAAATAAGTATTATACAGGAACGTGTCCTGCTCCATACCAAAAAACATGTTAAGAATTCATACAACAACATTGCACAATATAAATGCATAATATTATGGATTTTCTTTATTTGTATAGATGTGAAATATTTATTGTTTTGTTTCAGCAATGAATTTACTTTTAAATATAGAAGTTCACAATGCCTGTATTTAATTGGACTCTATAAAATCAACTCAAGAATCAATATTATTGCAATGTGCGCGAATAACAATTATAAGAATGCCTAACAAAAAAAAATATGACTATATAGATAACCATATAAACATTAATTATACGTCTCTTATATAACTTCAAGATGTCAAGTATATACTTGCAGATTAGTCTATGATAACTCTCAGTTCTAAAAATGAAAGCTTTTATTCTGTGAAATAGCATTGTAATTCTGTGTCAAGATTAAAAAAGTGCTCACTCAGTAATGCGAGCACGGAAACGTCAGAATTGTGATTTAAAATTAAAAATAATTGGAGCATTTTTAATACTTTTATAGGAATCGCTGATATATTATCATGCATATAATGATTATTCTGTGCATGTTATGGCCAACTTATTACCTGTTTTTCCCAACGCTGGTCCGAGATTGAATGAGTTAAAAATAAATATTGGCGTTTTTGCCAGCATTATGAAGTCACTGAGGGCCAGGTTGGCTACCAAAATATTTCCTGGGGTGCGGAGAGATCGGCATCTACAAATAAATAATCGGTTAAACCCAGATAAATACATTATGAAGTGTTTTTAAAGAATTATATTTAAGCCAGTTTTGCAGCCATTTTTATTTTTATTACAGACCAAAATATTAATAACGAAGTATATAGAACGTTTTTCTATTTTAGTATAAGCTGTATCATATTTTGGTATTCATTAGTGAAGTTAAAGTAATGTAGGTGTCAAAGTAGAGCGTTAACAACAGATATTGTGAAATACGTTTCTTGAAGAAATACGACCTCATTAGTTAACAGATAAGTAGCATCTGCGCTGTTGAAACGTTGCCATGGTAACCAATTGACTATTATCATAATATTATACCTTAGGAATGAACTATGATAAATGAAATATGGCGATGAAATTTTACAGACATGTGACCCGGCAAAAATTGTCGTAAAAATGGCAAACTGAGAATCTATAAATCAGGGATTCTGGTAGAAGGGTGAAAATTAAGGGTTATATCTGTTTTCTAATGCAAAATCATAAAAAAATAAACACAAAAATTCATAATAATCGGTCAAGTCGTTTTTGAGTTTTATTAAAAATACTGTGTCACGATATGCTATTTTCATTAGAAACTTACTAAAGAATCAAATATCCTTAGCAAAACTAAATGAAGGATTAAATATCCTTAGTAGAACTAAAATCGTTTTAAATAAGGAAGGAATGGTAGGGAACAATAATTTATCAACAAATCTATTTTTTAGCACAGTCCGTTCTGGACTAAGGTAAGATCGTAGATGAATAGGACATACTGCTAGGTCACCTGCAGGCATTGGTTAAGAGCACCAAGTAAAATTTAAACCTAAATTTAAGGTTAATTAACCAAATGCATTGTTCCCTTTTTATACAGATGCTGGACTCCAGAAAATTCGTGTGTTATGGATGACCGAGACTATTCTGAGTTATAAAGAAGAAAAAAATACCAAAAGAATTTTTTATGCAAAATAAATAAACAAAGTAATTTCATATTTGGGACAAAAAATGATTTGCAGCCATGTAGGGGTTGTCATCTTTTTGCGTTATATCGCCTGACAGTCAAAAGGGTGACAATTGTCAGTCTGTTTTTGACATGCAAGACCTGGTGACTAACGGTTTACGTTCCAGTACAAACCCGTATTTCGCTATGGGACAGGGACCACCATCACCACCGAGAATTAGTGCTAGTCTTGATCGGATTACATTGGCAATCCCTATCCTTCACATACTTTTAGCGATAGCTCTGAAAATTATATGGAGAGAAGACGGGACTTAAGTATATAGCTTCAAAAAACCCGGCCTGTCTTAAAAGTCAATTGTTTTCGAATCAGTCCTTCGTCAAACAAAGACATATTCTTATAAAAAAATTCCACACAAAGCAAAAAGATGTTTCGAAGTAATTTCCGGCCACGTTTCAACCTTTATAAACAGAAGCGAGTCAAAACATCAAAACGTATATATACGTAATAATTAATTCGGCTTTTATTTAAATGTTTTGTCTACTATATGTGTTCACTTTCAAAACGCTACATTATTCCTGAGCTGAAAGGAATTGGATGACGATGGCACAAAATAAATTAGGGTGGAAAAAGTTGGAGGAGGCCTTCTTCCGGACAGGGGCCGCATCTTAGTTAAAATTATATTTATATCTCCCATCCCCCATATCCCATATTCCATATCCCACTATTCCATTTGTCCCTCCTTTCCGTAGAACGCGTTTTGGTCAAAGCTCACCGATGTCCAGATTAAGCTTTCTGATAAACGAGCTAGTTCTGGATATCCATAGTTGCTCCCCTCATACTTTAAAATCGATTTTTGTTTAGTTTTTTGTAATTTTAATTTTTTTGATTAGTACAATTGTTTTTTTTTGTAATGTTTGTTTTGTTTAATAATTGTTTTGATTGATATTTGTATGATCTCTAAATGTATGTCATGTTTGCCTTTAAGTGCTTGTCACATTAAAAATTGTATTTTGTGTTTGTTTTTACCAATGTATCAGTGTGCCCAGCGTTGGCAAGCTTTATCAATAAAAAAAAGAAAAAAAAAAGAAATCTCTATTTTTATTAAATGTTTGTCAATAAGATGTGGATTAATAAAGGCTTATTATTATTAGTATCCCTGAGTAATATAATATATTTACTAAAAAAATATATTCAAAGTTATAATAAAAATAATTATCCATCTGTGTTAACTTGGGGAAGGGGTTTTTTTCTTATTATTTCTTTTATTAAAATAAAATCAAAACTATTATATTTTTAGCGACATATTAATAATACATACAAATATAGTAATTGTTTTATTTAATGGCGATGTTCATACAACTTTCGATGAAAAACTCAATGGTTTTAATTTTGCTTTGAGGTGCGAGAAGTCGGGGGTCAAACATCCTGTCTATTAAAATTTTAATTTAATTTCGTGCCTGGAAAGTGCCATGCCAGTTTTTTGTGTAGACTTTATTAAAAGCAATATATTTCTAAATATGCTAATATAATAAAAAAATTAAAATTACATGGGCAGTTACTCCAGTGGCAAGAGGACTCGTCCCGAGTTGTTTGAATTCTGCCTACCACTGCAAATATCGACAGGGTTTGGCACAGATGGTGACTAAATTTCAGTGACAAAACTTAGGGGGCCGATCGCTGGCCATGCGTCATACTCGTGAACGGGTGCTACTTGTGGTGACTGGTCGTACTTCAATTCGTGTATGCGGTAATGTTAGTCGTTTCGACTATGTATTTGCGTGTTGCCCCCACGAGAATGTAAGTACGTGCTCCTATTTCGCCATGCCTCCTGTTGATAGAGGACAAATCTTTGTTTTTAATGTATTATTATTTATTACTTAAGATGTCATGTGGAACATGGTGTAAATGTTGCAGCTCCTTACAAACGTTGTGTAAAAGAAAAACTTGGCGATTAAAAAGAGTGGCGGAGAGTTTATTGCCAGTTCTTCTCTTCCGTTCTACGCCCTTGATTTGAGAACTGGCAGTAAATGTAAAATTAGAAGCTTTTTATGTATATTTCTTTCTTTTTTTGACGTTCATAAGTGAACATTGTGTTACCTACATGAATAAATGATTTTTGATTTGATAAAACATTGATTCCTAACTATTTTCTGTCATCATTTTCCTACAAGTATCATTTTCATAGATTTCCAGACTGAAAAATAGCTATCAAACGATATTCACAGGCATAACATACAAATTTTATTGGTACGAGTGAGATGTGTATGTTTAGTACGGTTTTAAAGTATTCGCCTTTGATGTGGTAAAATAATTATAATTAATTTGTTGTAATTTAGCTAAACAAATATTAACGATTTCTTAATATAACCGTGGTTTTTCCTTTTTGTCTTGTTTAAAAAAAATTAAATCACAATGTCGACACTTAACGACACTCAAAAGTAGTTTCATGTTTTAATTCACGGCAAGAGTTGAAAACAAATATAAATGTTTTTTAGCAAATACTCGAAAACGGTAAAAGTTAGACAAAACAGTTCAAATTAAAACAACAATACATTTATTATTTATTTTTATTACGGCCGAGGTAGTAATTACAAATATAGTATGCCAGTGCTGAGCAATTAAACACATTCCTAATTACAGGAAACAATTGAATTGGGTCTCAATTCCTTAACGTAACGCAATGAAAAAGCTACCTGTACTTGACAACCGCTTAGCTTATTGGTTATACAGGGTTGTATGTTCAAAGGCTTTTTTGATCGTTTAATTTACGTGATACAACATCGCATCCAAACAAACCGGCATAGACCTAAAAGTCGACCACCTGTGTCGGGTATCACCTTCTTACTCGAATTAAGTTCGGAGGCGGTTTATGTATGGGTATGTTCAGATATATATTAAATTAAACTCTTTGTTTGATACAGACTTTAATTGTTTAAAACATGAGTTTATAACAGAAATAATAAAAATAAATAAGATCAAGGGAATAGAAAGCAACCGGAAGCCCTTGACGGCAATATATGCCTGAGGCGTTCTTGCCCTTAGATTTCTGCTTCGTTTATTTTATTAACGAGAGGTATGTAACATTAGTTAATTTAATATATTTTTTAGTAAATAATTAAGCGTAAACCAAATGTAAACAATATCGCACACTTGAAGATAATATGTGCCCTTTTGGTTTTACCACACTCTAATAACATAAGTGTTACTTAAATTTACGAACTCTTCAATAAGTCAAGTTAGTTTTTGTTAATCCAGCGTCGCAACCCCTCTATCCCTAATAAGCTCATGTCTTAAACAATTAAAGCCAGTTGTTACCCAGCCAGCGTTAAACAAAGTGTTTCATATAACATATATCTGAACATATACAACAAGTGCCACCGGACTTAACTCGCGTGTCACAAGATTTTCATTAACATTTTGACAATCAATTATTTAAATGCAGTATCTCCTTCAAAAATAATCAAAAAGTATTCGCCTAAGTTATACAATATCTTGATTTTATAAACCTTTCAACATCCTGTATAAAGTACAAGTAAATACAAACGATTAGGTTGAATCACGGTCTACCCCTAATAGAATGATTGTAAAGATATTTCCGTATTAGGAGGCTTGAATAAGTTACCGCTGTTGCCCGCTGGGAAGCCGGTTTTTAAGTTTATTAGATTCGGAGATCAATTTTGGTATTACACATTTTATTTATTAACAAAATACAGAATTTTATGTGACGGTAGTCACACAAATTCGTCCCAAATCCACCGAAGCGTCGAAATTTATTACAATACTATTATATTTATTAATAATTTAAACAAAAAAAATAGAAAATTCAAACAAGGCAAGATACTTGATTTACAATTTTAAAGTCTTAGGTACAAAGTGCGACAGTAGGAACCTGTTATCGACGCCCTTGCCAAGTAAATTTACAAAATATGGCGGAAGTTTTACAAAATAATAAAGGCAGAAAACAGTTTTTAGTTACAACCGTCATAGATTAAATATCAAATGAATAAATAGAGCAATATTTTTATAATATTCTCAAAATTTGATATTAGTAAGCACAACAAATAGTAAAAGTAAACT